CTTAACTTTATGTTTCATGAGTTGAGACTCATTGTTTCAGATTTGAATTCTAATAATTATCTCACTATAGTAACTAATAAGTCTTTCATGCCCTTATTTTGCTTATAGTATATTCACACATTTCCAACCTATTCTGCGATATGTCTGTGCATCCTTCACTCAAAGCTTTAAAATACTACAATACAATTATTCGTTTCAGATATAATATGATACAATATTTATTACAATAAACATTTTTAAACGATACTAAGGCTCATCATGATTACGCCTAATAATCAAATTCTATATCAGCCCGATTGTGATTCTTTATAGCATCTGAAGTGTAACGCGTACATTAATTATGGCTGTATCCTCTCCTGTCAATTAATATGTATGTATATATTATATGCTAATATATATGTAATATAATATGTATAATATATGTATATATATATATGCATATACTATAGATAAAGTATTTATCCACAAATCATAATTTTTAGAATGTTATTTTATATGGTAAATAATACAAAAATGAAGAATGAAAGATTAGTGTTTCAATATAGTTTTCCAATTGTTCACAATTGAAAATCGTTCCCAATCATGATGACCTAATGATAACATGCATTAAGTTTCGCCAATATAAGCTCGAATAATGATGTAAGTACTACACGCTTACTTAAAAGATGCAATATAGGGCCTCGTATAACATTACCTTTTAAAATCATACCAATATGATGTATACATTTCATACTACTTAGTCGCTGAAATTCATAGAATTATCCTAATAGCTATCTTACTAAATTTTTATATAAGCTAGGTCAATACACTTACGGACGCATTATTTTACTTTTAAATTCACAAACATGCACGCGTCCATAACGCATATGATTACATATAATAGAAAAATAAACGCCATCACAATTCATCGTATTAATCATAATCGTAATAATCATCGTATTTCTTGAAGTTAAATTAACTGATATCAGCGACTATATCGACAGTTTATGTGTTATGTACGAAACAGTTTATGTTTCAATATAATTTTTAAATTTCAATTGTGATTTTAATTTTAATTTAACTAGTTTACTAACAAGTGTGCAAACATGTATGGTGTGTTGCATTTGAAATATTCTATGTAGAATGAATAGTAAGTATAAATTTCATACTTTTAATCTGGATGGTTGCATTGTGTGGCAAAAATTTAAATTTAGCAACTGTATAGATATAATCAATAAATAGGTTTAATGCTATGTAAAGATTTGTGAAAATTTAAAAAAAGATATACAAGGCCCAAAGTGCAAAGTCACTGTAAGCGTTTATGACCTCCAACACATACATCAGTGCTCGTGCATTTACTGGCACAAGTCTCATGCCATTAGTTTACGATTTTTGATTATAAATAATTTAGTAATAAAGCCTATACTG